GCGGCTGCAGCTGGAGAAGGCGGCCTGGCGCTGGACCGAGACGGTGCCGCCCGAGGAGGTGGCGCAGGAGCACGTGGAGGCGGCCTACCGCATCGGCCTGGAGCCCTGCCGCCGCGGCGTCTGCAGGTGCGGGCCCGGCCTGGGGGGCTGCGCTGGGGCCGCCGCGCCGTGACTGCAGGGGGGGTGCGATGTGTGTCTTTAAAATGTTTAAATCCCTTTTAAAACTTACCTCGTTTGTAAAAACGGAACAAAAGTGAGAGGAGCGGCTCACGGCCAGGCGTCGGGATGTTTCTGCCGGGTCTGTAGAAATCGCTTTAAAACCCCCCCAAAAAACAGACCTTTTTTGGGGGACGCGCTGCCTCTGGGAATCAAATCGGGTCACTGTGTGTCAGAATCTCTTTTTAAACTTGCCTTAAGTTTCTCCTGCGATGAAAGCTGCCGCTGGGACCCGAGTCGGTTCAGGAGCCAGCCTCCATCTGGTCCGGCCAGATACGGGGGTGTTGTCTGTGGAAATCCCCTTAAAAACTTCCCCCGTTGAGGAGATGAAACAACCGCTCCTCCTGCGAGGAAGGGCGGCCCGTGGGAATCGAACCGGCTGCGGTCCATTCGCACCCAACGCAAAAGCAATTGCAGTGTGTAAAACAAATCGGAAACGTCTCGTGCGATGAAAGCCGCCTCTGGGAACCAAACCGGTTCAAGATCCGGCGTCGGGACACTTCTGCCAGACGCGTTAGCGGTGCTGCCGATACAAATCCCTTTTCAAACTCGCACCTGATTTGTAAGACAGGACGAATGTTTCTCCTGTGGCGAAAGCCGCCTCTGGGAATCGACCTGGTTCAAGATCCAGCCGCGGTTATTTCTGCCAAACGGATGGGGGTGCTGTCTGCAGAAATCTCTCTACAAATGTACCTCATTTGTGAAAAGTCTGCCTCTGGGGATCGAGCCCATTTGGGATCCAGCCTGTGTCTGTTTCGCTGTAGAAATCCCTTAAAAACTTACGTGGTTTGTAAAACAAAATGAAAGATTCCCTTGTTCCGAAAGGCTGCCTCTGGGAATCGAACCGGTTCGAGATCCAGCTGCAGTACGTTTCTGCCAGTCGCGCGAGGGATGCTGTCTATAGAAATCCTCTTTAAAACTGGCAGGGTTTGTAAGACGGAACAAAAGTTTCTCTTGTGATGAAAATTGCCTCTGGGAATCAAACCGGTTCAGGATCCAGCCTCCGTCTGTTTCTGCCAGACCTGTAAGGGACATTTGCTGTAGAAATTCCTTTAAAAAACTGACGCTGTTTGTAAAAACAAAATGAAAATTTCCCTAGAGATTAAAGCTACCTCTGGTTATTGAACTGGTTCAAGATCCAGCATCAGTACCCCTATAAGGGGTGGTATCAATAGAAATGCCCTTAAAAACGTACTTGGTTTGTAAACCGAATGAACGTTTCTCATGTAATGGAAGCTGCCTGTGGGGCTCGATCTGGTTCAAGATCCAGCCTCGGTCTCTTTGTGCCAGTCACATAAGGGGCATTAGCTGGAGAAATCCCTTTGAGAACTTACATGGCTCGTAAAGCGAAACGAAAGTTTCTCTTGTAAGGGAAGGGGGCTTCTGGGAATTGGACAGGTTCAAGATCCAGCTTCAGTGTATTTCTGCCAGATATGGAAGGGGCATTTGCTGTAGAGATCCCTTTAAAAACTTGCTTACTTTGTAAAACAAAGCGACTGTTCCTCGTGTGGTGAAAACCTGCCTCTGGGAATTGATCCTGTTCAAGATCCAGCTTAACTTACTCCCGTGTCAGATGGGTAGGGGTTACTCTCTGTAGACATCCCTTTAAAAGCGTAAGTTGTTTGTAAAACAAAACGAACCTTTCCCTTGTGACGAAAGCCTGCCTCTGGGAATCAAACCAATTCAAGATCCAGCCTCAGTGTATTTCTGTCAGACATGCAGGGGGTTTGAGCTGTAGAAATCCCTTTAAAAAACATAAGGTCATTTGTTAAACAAAACACTTTTAATTTTTTTTTAGTGATGAAAGCAGAGTTTATACTCCTCTCTAGTGACATACATGTGGTAGATGAAGTGTGCAGAGGTAAACGGCTCTAAATGCTGCCTCCAACCTACTCAACAGTAAACCAAATCTATGGGCTAGAGGGTAAAAAGTGTTTGTTCCCAACAAAAAGACTCTCAAGTTACGCTTGCGTGTTTTTGGTCCCGTGTTCTGTTTTCCTGTGTTTTGCTAATGAAAATAATACAGTTTGCTATTGCTTCCTGGTTTGGGGGTTTTGTTTTTGTTTTTGCATGATCTAAAACAGCGGTGTTTGTTTTCATGAGTGTGTTTGTTTTTTTATAGAAGAAACTGCAGAGGAAACCCAAACTGTTTGGTTGGGATTGGTGAACATGTTTGGCTGGGAGAAATTGATGAGAATAGCTTTCACAATATTGATGACCCAAATTCAGAACGCAGGAAAAAGGTAAAAGAGATTTTTTGTTTCCTGTATAAGCTATAACCCCCAATCCAGCAATTAACCTGCACACACAGGATCTGAAGTGTTCGGTTTTCTCTCTGGGGATAGATACAGTGTTGCATGATTCCCTGCTATGGAGTTTCAGCTCTCCACCACAAACAAGACCTGAAACTCTCCCTTCTCAAAGATTTGAGTTGCACTTTTCTCATTTCTCATCTGAGACCAACTGTCACTGGCTCAGCATATACTCTACAACACTCCTTTTAATTTCCTTGACACTGGCAGGTTGTCTGCATACCACTGGTGGTATGTGTACCACAGGTTGGGAACCGCTGAGTTAAAGTGTTGCTTTCCCAGTCTTGCTTGTCAGATCTGAAAGGAGGCAGCTGGGTTAGAAATCCATTCAGATAATGCGTAGAGAAGCCACATGACAGACGCATGGTATGCTGTGTTCATTGTTGTCATGCAGTTGGGGAGCAGAAAGTTTGCGAAGGTCCTCTATAAAGCCACAGCTGCTCAGTACCAAGAACAGAGTACAAGCATGTGACAGCTGGATTTTTTTCCCCCAGTGTGTTCCTTTTGGTGTTTTGGGACAATGTGCCTTGCAGTTTTGTGTGACAGGATTAATCTATGTAGTTTTGGGGATAGGTTAGTAGACGTGCAGTTGTATGGGATGGTTTGGATGGGGTTGATCCTGTGTTGAGCAGGAGGCTGGATTGGATGACCTCTTGACATCCCTTCCAGCCCTACTTTTCTATGATTCTGTGTAGGAATAATTATAACTGGTGCTTTCTTCTTTACACTAGAATGCATTCGTAGGATTAACAAACCTTGGAGCCACATGCTACGTGAACACTTTCTTGCAAATGTGGTTTCTTAACTTGGAGCTTCGGCAGGCACTTTACTTGTGCCCCAGCACCTGCAGCGAATATTTGACCGGTGAGGGCATCCCAGAAGACAAAGGTCAGTGAAAGGTCGCAACGTTCTCTGAACACTTTTTTGTTGCGAGAGAACATTGTTAACCTCTGCCTGTTCACATAACAGATAAAATTGCTTTCCTTGCTCAACTGATTAACCATTTAGAATATCCTTCTTGTGTGGGTAAAGAAATTATCTTAGCACTAAGTGGCTGGAGTTTGGCAGATGCTACCTCATATAAATATATCTTAATGAGAAAGCATTGGTTGCACGTAAGGGCTACAGTTAGCTACAATTGGAGCAACACAAAAAATGGCCAAGTTTTTGCATGTAGAAAAGACACCTGGCATTGGCCATTGTCAGTGCCAGAATAATAGACTAGAAAAGCCATTAGTCTCATGAGTATAATCTATGAGTCTATGTATACAGCAATCTATACAGTATACAGTGTTAATATACCTTAATAGCATAAAGCCTTTTGTTTTGTACGTTATGGATCAAGGTATGGTAATGGTTATCGTAAACCAGCTTTTTTTTTTTTTTTTTTTTTGGGGTGGTTGGGGGGTTTTTAAAAAACACTTTTTTTTTTTTTTTTTTTTTGGGGTGGTTGGGGGGTTTTTAAAAAACACTTTTTTTTTTTTTTTTTTTTACTGGCAACTGATATTTCTCTCACAAAGTGAATTCTTGGCTATTTCTTGTGTTGTCAGTTGTAATAAGCAACAAAATTGTATGTAAAACACCAGTAGTAATTTTTGCTGGATGTACAATAAGCTGCTAGCCTTATTTTGCTTCCGTTACTGAGTGCTGGCTTTTGGGGATACGACAGTGTATGAAAATGAAAATGTTTTCCTTAAGTAAGATACTTAGCTTGAATTAATTACTTTGGTATGACAGTTTATAATAGAAGCTGTAAACAGGGACTTTGTTTCTAATCATATAAATTTATATTAAAGTTTCATTTACTGATAAGCAAGCCTCGATCCTCTGGATTGTGGTGTATGTGCAAGAGATCTAGTCAGAGGCCTGATGAATCCACTTGTGGCTGACAAGCCCAGTTCAGGAGTGACACAGATTGTTACAAGTGTCGCAGGTCCATGTGTTGTCTGAGCTGGAGTTAGTTTACAGCACACTGCTCCCCTCTTTCTCGCTTTGCTTCCATCCTCTGGATCAAAGCCACTTCATGTTGAGCTGCACCCAGTGCCAGATGTTTTCCCCAGATTAGACGGGATTCTATGCACTCCTCCCAGCTTTCTACGTTGATGTGGAGCGACTTCATATAATTTATGCCCACATCTTGGTACCACCATAAAGGGTAACCTTGCTTTCTAGAGCCATCTCAAATCTCACTATACAAAATATTTTTGGGACTACAGTCTCCTCCCATTCTTCTGACATGGCTGAGCCATCCTGACCTCTTGATAGTGGTTTCTAACAGTGTCAGTGCTGCGTGCTCTAGCGTCTTTGTGTGTGGCACTTTGTCTTCCCGCATTATTTTCCGGGTCTTAAAGTGCCATTAAAGTTTCATTCACCCACAACCAACTAAAATTAAATGTCTCTGGCTTGGCGCTCATTTGTCTCTTGGTGCAAACCAGGTCAGTCCCTTCCTATTAATTTGAGCTTCTCTCTCCCAATAGATTATGAACCTCAGACAATTTGTGAGCATCTCCAGTACCTGTTTGCATTGTTACAGAACAGCAAAAGGCGATACATTGATCCCTCTGGGTTTGTTAAAGCACTAGGCTTGGATACAGGACAGCAACAGGTAGGTTTGAGTTTGATGATTGACTAGTTCTCTTTTCTAACAACTTTTTAAGTAAGGTGGAATAATATCCCATAACGTTCATAAAACTTACTTAATCATATCCTCCTCATACCCAAGAGCCCTGCTCCTGAGCTTAGGACCCCACTTGCAGCTGCAGGAAGTTAAAAAGTTAGAGTTGATATTGACAGTGAGGTCAGAATATGATGGTGGCTGCAGCACATGGTCCGTATTGTGTTCCCAAGGGTAAGAGAAGGTGGGGCACCACTGCACCGGAGACTTGGGAGCAGAGAGCAAGAGCAAGCTGCCAGTGCTGAATTGGAGAAGCTGTAGAACAAAACTGGAAAAACACTCCAGACAGCAGTCGTAAACAGCATGTTCAGTGAGTTTAAGAAGCGGCAGTAAGCAGGGAGGCAGGTGAGGTCATGGGTTGGAGAGACCGAAGCTTGTGTGCATGGTGAGGGAAGAGTTAGGAGAGTGAGGCTAATGGGAAGAATAAAGAAGGGTATAAAAGAGATTTAGTGGATGCCAGGAGATGGGATGGGGTCACTTGGGAGGAAACCAGCTGAGAATCTGTATGAGTGACAGGAGGCAAGAGGAATAAGGAAAGCAAGATGAAGAAGGGAGGCCTCCTACAAGCCTAAAGCTTAAGGTTTCAGTGAAAGGTGGCAAACAGGTAGCTGCTATTGCAGGACTCACTTAAGTTGGAGGAGGAGAATTGTTTAGCCAGGAAGATGGCAAAACAGAAGGGGGCAATGAATAAAAGCCTGTTGAGTATTCAACAAGCGTAAATCAGTGTAGCTCAGTAGCATCTGTGGAGCTATACTGTTTTACACCATCTGAAGGTCTGTGTCTACAGAAGATGAAACAACTGATGGCAGTCGTATCATTTTTGTCTTGTTTGCTGCTCTCTTTCTCTGTCACTTGGCTAGATCTATCATGTAAGCACAAATAATGTTATTTTCTGAGACGCTGGAACACAGTGTTGGAATGGGTCTCAGAAGAAGGGACGGTATGAAACATGAGTGATTATTATGACAAACCGTTCCCTAGCAAAGGATGATTAATCCTCTCTAAACTAATGTGTGCTGTTTATACAAGATAAGTAACACTCTTTAAAAGTCTGTCAGTCACAATGCTATAATCATATTGGGTATAGAAATGTTTGTTTCAGTATTCTTGGTGGGGGGGAGAAGGGGGGTGGGCCTGATTCACGATGTGGAGTTAGGAAGTGAAAATAGTCAGATTTATGTGGTTAATGAGCTACCACCCTTTTAACAAAATCCTGGAAATTGCAGTGTAGCTACTACTACTATACCCATCAAACTCATGCTGCTGTTCTCATGCTGTGTCGTGCACTCCTTCGAGTCCAATTTATCTTTTCCTTTGTCTTGTTGCCTTGCATTTTTCTATTCCGTGTGCACTTTAGCGTCTGTATAATTCTGTATGTGGGTTTTGGTTATCAACATAACATTTCAAGTAAATTGGAGAACTAGGCTGTGATTGTAACTCAGAAGTGACTCCATTGTTACCAAATGCTGGTGTGTGTTCTAGGATGCCCAGGAGTTTTCCAAGCTCTTTATGTCACTGCTGGAAGATACTTTGTCTAAACAGAAAAATCCAGATGTTCGAAATATCGTCCAGAAGCAGTTTTGCGGAGAGTATGCATATGTCACCGTGTAAGTAAGCTGCGTATTTCTCCAGCAGTGCTTTCTTGCTCAGCTTGTTTTCCTGTTCCTCTGGCCACTTAGAAGAAACTTCCTACAAACATTAAATATTTTTGGAGAGGAGAGAGCAAGCGGGAAGGAACCTTTCTAAATCTATAACAGAAAGGCAAGTGCATTATTTGCTGAGTTCTTTAAACAAGAGTTTTCAGTGATTCTGAAGTCTTGAGTTTATGGAAAAATAGGACTCCATATGCACGTCCTGTATAATTTATAGAATTTTGCAGCTTGTCTATTTCTTTCTTTAATTCCTCATGTTCAAAAGGAAAGGTGGTTACAAGCCGCATCTGCCTGGCAGACCTGTTTCCTCTCTCACACCGTGGTGCTCTATGTTGGTTGCCTCCAAAACTGGAAGTAATGTGTCTGTGTCCTCTTGGGGCTTCAGGTAGACCCATCATCACTGCTGAGTGACAGAGCCAGTTACCTCTTCTCTGTGCTAATTAGCTGGCTGCTAATGGATGGGTCTGTGCTCTTTCTGGGTTAGGAGGCAGCCCAGCTGGAGGAACATGAAAAAAGAATTCTTATGGGTAATACCTTTTATTTGGTCAACTGTATGGTTGAGAAGGACCCAAAGCTTGGCTGTCTCTCTGTGCCCTTCCTCTGGTCTCACTTAATATAACTTAAATTCCCAAGCCCTGAAAATGATCTGTAGCTGCCTGGCTGCCCACATTGATCCCTTGTGAGAATTGTTCATTTGTATTTGGAATGTAAGAGTGTAAATATGAGGTGCAAAAAGACATCTCTGCCCTTGCTCTGGAGGCCGCCATGTTGCTGCATAGGTTCTTTAGTCCGCAGATCAAATCTTGACATGGCCAAGAGCAGCAGGCCACAGAAATTTGGAGCTGCACACACCTCAGAGTCAGTGATCTGTGCCCAGAACCTCAGCTCCAATGATGACTTTTGAATTAATTGATTTTTTTTTTCTGTTCTAGCTGTAACCAGTGTGGCAGGGAGTCCAAACTTGTATCCAAGTTTTATGAACTGGAATTAAATATCCAAGGGCACAAGCAATTGACAGACTGCATCACAGAATTTCTTAAGGTAAAAAGTTATTCTTTTTGTTGATGCTATAAAACAAAGCACTAGTTTGCTTGCCTGTCAAGGTGTTCTGAAATCAGGGAGAATTCGTAATGAAATCAGTGGGAAAAGGCTGTGGGAGTGGCCACTAAATAACTGCAAAATATCAGTATTAAAAGAGATGCTTCCATCAGGATATAATTATTATTGAGAGTGATATACTGAACATTAGGAGAATCCTTCTCAGCTTACTATGTATCTGGTAAAGCTTTGTGTGAAGCTTTCCTTTGCTGTTTCCCTTGTTAGTGCACTTCTTTCTCATAGCAGCAGCAGGATATATGTATTTTAACTATAGTATTGTTAGACACCCAGGCATAGCTGCAGCAGCACCTAAAAATACTTTAGATGCACTTTTTATAAAGTGACTGGGTCTCATGTTGTAGGTATTCAAGGTTCAAGTTGTGTTATTAAAATATTTTAGAGCAAAGTTACTAACTAGTTCAGCTCGTTTTGTGCAGTAAGTCACAGATTGTGACTCGGGGTGACATGCTCAGGAGACAAGTCAGTTGTGAAACAAGTTGCCATGAAAGGTAAATTCCGATTAAAAGAGAACACATTCCTGTATGCGTCTAATAGATGCATTGGGGTACACCCACACTGCAAGATTACATTATCTCCACTTAGCAACAATAAGCTTGGGGTTGGAGGTTTGTTTGCCTCAAAAAATTAGAAGGCAGGGCTTCATGCTTAGCAGTTTACGGTGTATTCCCAACTCCACACATGGATGCCAATTCCTGTGAATCCCCACTGAAGCTAGTTTGGTCCAGCAGGCGGAAATTGCATTCATTCACATGGGCACAGTTTCAAGTAAATGGAAACTGTAGCTTTTCTGTTAACTAACTATGTAACCTCATTAAAACAGAACTTTCTACAACCTCCTTGATGCAGACTAAGTTACCCATCTCAGTTCAGTAGAGGGAAAACCTGACCTTTGGATTATAAACTGCCCGATTATTGCAGCAAAGGCTTACTGTAGTTTGACAGACTTGTGGTTTCTTAAACTGTCAGTAGTCTCTTAACAGCTCTGAAATTTTGAAGTGTGGTTAGCCCAGTGTTGTCTATATTTTATGCATTGTCTTCTATTATCCCTGCCATATCTTGGGATACTGGTTATATGGATATAAAGAGAGCTGTCTTCTTTTGGTGTCTGTATATGGCTTTGAATCTCAAGCTCCAGAGTAGAGTGGAAGAATCAACCTTTTTCTTTTTTTGCCTCCTGGTCAGGAAGAAAAACTAGAAGGGGACAATCGCTATTTCTGTGAAACTTGTCAGAGTAAGCAAAATGCCACAAGGAAGATCAGGCTGCTTAGTCTTCCATGCACTCTCAACTTGCAGCTGATGCGTTTTGTGTTTGACAGGTAAATGACCTGGGTTGTAAAAGTGAGGGGGTGGGGGGTGGAGAGGGAGGCCTGTCGGGTTGCCCGGATATTTAAAATTACCTGTTCTACATTTGCTTCCACTTCGGGTGCTATTCAAGTCTGAATTAAGTGCTTTGAGTTTGAGCTTTTGTGCCCTTTGGACTGATAAATGAACATCAAGAAATCCATATTATTAACATATAATAGAGATGTACAGATTTTTTGGAAAACATCTTTCTGCATGTTTAGTCTCTCTGTTGTTGCATTGAGCATGTATTGTTGAATGTTTTGTGGTTTGATTTTTTTGAACAGGCAAACTGGCCATAAGAAAAAGCTGAATACTTACATTGGGTTCTCTGAACTGCTTGACATGGAGCCTTTTATGGAACAGCGAAGTGAGTTGTGTGAAAAGTACTAACTTGTACCCACGCGTCTATATGTGGCAATTTAAAAATCAGGGAGTTGGGACCTGGAATCAAGGAGGCTACCTCCAGCTTTAAATCACTCCACAAGCAGCTCAGATGGGCTGCACACAAAGCCATTTAAAACCTGGGGGTTGGGAGGTAAGGGACCCTACTGACAGCTTGTCCTCTCCCCTGCCTGGGAGGGGGGCAGGCTTCTCAAGTAACGGGCTCCCATAAGGGCAGGTTTGGCCCAAGGTTCAGCCCTCTAGTGCCCCGTGGCTGGAGAGCTCACCTTTGTAGTTCTCCACCCAAGGGCTAGAATATATGTACACTTCAGCTCCCAAGCTACTTTTCTACCAGGAAAAATTTCAGATAAATTTTTACCAGTAGAAGTGATTGCTTGTTTTCAGCTTAAAACATTTCTAGCTCTTTTTATCAATATCTTCACTTAAAATGGAAGCTTAAGCAGTGTTTGGTCCCATGTTGAACTGCCAGCAGTGGTTAGCAACTTCTATAAAAATGTCTTAATTTCTGACTATTAGGTGAAACTCTTTGGTTACTAGATTTGCAAGATAAAGTATAGAGTCCTGCTTGGCCTCTGCTTCTCTCTTGTTCGAGGTCAAAACCTAGAGAAGAGAAAAATCACTTATGCTCTTTTGTGTTAGGAAGGACTTTTTTAATTCTTAAAAATTTTCAGATGAATGATTTGTATGGTCCCTGGAAAATAAAAGAACTGCTTGTTCTCTTTCAGATGGCGTCTATGTCTATGAACTCAGTGCAGTCCTTATCCACAGAGGAGTGAGTGCATACTCTGGTCATTACATTGCTCATGTGAAGGACCCACAGACTGGTGAATGGTACAAGTTTAATGATGAAGACATAGAAAAGATGGAGGGGAAGAAATTGCAATTGGGGATTGAGGAAGATCTAGGTAAAACCTTTAAGTTGTGAGTGCCCTTTTAAAATAACTCTTTTTTTCACCAAAAACGTGGAAGCTAAATCAGTTGCCCTGATGCATGTATGAACAATTGGTAATAACAGAGCTGCATTTTATGGGTAACTAACAAAACTGCAGTTTCCTTACTTGCAGCAGTTTTAATCCCCGAGCCCCATCTGAATGTTTGTCTTGTACAGTCTTTCTTGACTGCAGCTCTCTTCTCAGTTATAACATGGCAAATAGCAAGCTTTTGCCTAGAAATGAGTTGGTTTAAAAAGATTAACTTCCACGTCGGGGTAAAACTTGAACAAACTATTTGCCTAAACTAGTGCACCAAATGGGGTTTTATTAATGGAAAGCACGTTTTTTTTATATGGTTTCTAGAGAGCTAAAAGTAAGCTTTTATTTGTGCTATTTTGATTTTCTTCTACATCCTGCTCAGCCTTTCCCCCTTACTCCAAGAGAAAACACCCCGTTTTCATATTACCTTGGCAATGTTGGATCTTGATTTCGTGATGTTTGCTGTAAAGCTTAGGCTGAGACTTCAGCTGCAGCTGGCTTAGCCCACAATGCATTTATTGGATGTATGACTATCAATAGTCTCAGCATTTGAATATGCAAATACAAACATGCCTGAGTAACACTAATGAGTCAACGCTCAACACGTCATAGGTGTAGAGATCCAAATAAATGCTCTAACAGAGTACTAAGAAAAGTATTTAAGAATCCCCATTTCAATCCTTTAATACAAAGTAGGAAAGTAAAACTTAGATATTTCTCAACTAAGAGGCAAGTAGGAAAAAAAATTCCCAAAACATTTCCAAGCATTGACTAACCTAAAGTCACATTCTGATGCCCTGAACTTAAAAAAAACAAAAAAAACCTTCAATTTTTTAACCTTCTCCCACATTTGGTTTTATAAAGGTTTCCTGAGAGATTTGCCAAGCACATTTAAACCTTGCTCCTGTTTCTCACCACTTTCTCTCCATACATCTGTCTGCTGCCTCTTCATTTGCAGCTTTGCTGCTGCCACTGGTAAACATCCTCTTGCAGAACCTGATGACGAGCTTGTATGCAAAGCCCTGCCAGAGCAGTGATGGTGTCCTGCTAGTGGCTGAGTGATGCACCTGACCCTCAACAGTGATGAACCTGATTAGACAGGAAGCAATATAAGATGCAGAAGTAAACCCACTGAAACACAGATACTTCGTTCTCTGACCTTTCCTGTTCACCCCCTGAACAAGCCAGGAGATCACTTGCAGAAAGAAGAGACAACAATTTGAAACTATAAAACAAGATAGGTCTTGGTGTTGCAAAGGCTTAAGCATGGGCTTAAAATTAAGCGTGCATTGTTTACTGAAGGCAAAGGAAGTATTCGCATTCTTAACATAAAGCACGGTTTAAGTCTCTGAGCTTGGGGCCTCAAGCAGTTACAATTAAAAATATTATTCATCAAGATTTAAAATTATTTACCAGCTTCTGCCAAAATCTCTGGTCAGGGTTCTTTTTCTCCTCCAAGGGCAGAGCCTATTGCACACTCAGCAGTGGAAAAAGTTTGGCATATAAGCAGATTGCGGTGAAAAGGCTCTGCTTTTATCTGCTGCAGGGAGGCAGTGTGCTTGAACTCTGACCAAGCAGGCAGGACAGATTTTATAAGTGCTTGTAGAAACTGGGAAGGAAGGTGGTGCTGAGATCTGTCTAGGTCATGGGATGGCAAGATTATGGAGTGACGGGCTGCTTTCACACAGCTTAGCTACACGTGCAGGCTACTTCTAACACAGCCCAGACCACTGCAACTGCCACAGTTATCACTCTCTCCTGCAGTGCCACCACTATGACTTCTCCCTGCCATCTGGCCTCTGAAACATAGCAGAAGCGCCGCAGCTCTGCCTGCCATTGGGTTGCTTGCTAACCTCTGGTCTAAGCACCTGAATTCACAAGAAGATGGGCATTGTGATAGCGTCTGAGTTCCTCAAGAATTCTACATGCATAAATGATAGAAATGAAATTTCCATGTACTCCACTGAATTTGAGCTGAAGCTGTTTTTCCTTTTTTCTTTTTTTTTTCTTTTTTCTTGTTACTTAAATTAGCCTGTAATGCTGGAAATTTAGATGCACTCAAAATGTTCCATTGTCTCATAGGCTGCAGGTGAATGTAGAATGACAAGCTCAAAAACATGAGTTGGTGGCTATGGTCACGTTTTTCCACCCCCCATCTCAAGTACATTCCAAGCTAGCACTTGGAATCAGCCATCTGAAATAACGCATTTCCTACCCTGCAGTTTGATGCCTACAGGTTTTGTCACACAGTGGGAAGGAACACATTTCCCTTATGGATAGAGTGTCATTTAAACATTTTCTTTACCCCAAGCATTGAAACATTTACTTGGTATAAGGGAATCTGCATGGATGAGAGTGCACATGCAGTACCCATGCGCAGCTGCCCGTCTTCCGTTGGAGAAGAGGTTTAGCATACTTGGAGGTAGTGAATACATGCTGGGGGGGATGAATTTAGATAAGATACCTTGTCTCTGGATTCACCCTGTTAAGGGAAAATAAATACAGTAGAATGCATACTTATTACATTTTGCCTTCTGTGCCACAGCAGAGCCTTCTAAATCTCAGACTCGTAAACCCAAGTGCGGGAAGGGGACTCATTGCTCTCGAAATGCTTACATGTTGGTGTACAGGCTGCAAACCCGTGAAAAATCGCCGACAGTTGAAGTACCAGGTGAGTGGAATCATTCTTCTGGCCTTTCGGACCGTTTTCGTACAGCTAAATCTTTTTAGTTTGCTCTGTCCAGTTCCGGAGGAAATCAGCAGTTCACCTTAAATGCTTTTTGTAACAACCTGTGTCCACTAAACCAAAAACTTGCCTTAAATGACCTGTTACCACTTTATAGGCCCCTGACTGTAGCTTGCAGACGCTGGGGACTATTTCAGTCATTCCTGACACAAGGTGGAGCGAGATGTTAAAAGGTAGAATCACTGTTACTTGACCTGCTAAACATATATGTTGGTTTTTCGATGTATTCTTCTACTAGGAAAGCATTTCCTAGTAAAATAAAAGAAAGAAAGAAGAGCTAAATAAAATATGTTTTATATTTTAGTTCTTTTGTAACTTTGTCTTCTATCTCTTCCGTCTTCCTATCTTCTGGAAACGCAGCTGTCCTTTTACCAGAGGTTTGCCCCATGAGTTGACTTTTGCTTGTTTTCTTTAAGAAAATCATTTAGAAAACCAGAAAGAATCCCGTTTCAGCATCTACCTGGAATAAGAGTCTGTTGCTGAGGCGGTAGTTTCTCTTTCGGTCGCTGAAATTTCATAGCTGTAAGCACTCCCTGGCCCTGTTGCATTGAAATTGCCACTTGTGCTCATGCAGCAGAAAGAGCGAAGGAATTTTTTTCGTCTTTGAAGTAATCTCAACTTTTTGTGAGTTGGCGTACGTGATCACAAAATGTTCAACTCATCACACAGAATAGGGATTGAATAATCGGTGTCCCCTGCCAGATTTACATTTTAATAGTTAAACTGGTTTAAAAAATGACGCCCAAAGCTTGAATAGCAGTCATTACAAGATGTCAGTATCATGTGTATCGTGCTGAAGGTGGGTAGCCCTGGCGTTTCTCAGTCACTTATTTGCCTTGCATGCCTTTTACAACGGCATGCTGCTTCTCACAAATACATGTTCCTCCCTACTGAGTATAAAGGGAATAAAAATAAGGGTGCAGGCGATTCAGAGACTTTTTGCTAGCATATTCGTGATTTGTCTTATAGCTAGGGGGAGGTGGAAATTCATTTGACCTTTGGATTGAATAATACTTAACATTTGTATAGTGCTCTGTTCAAAGGGTTATATATGCTAATTAATATTTCTACAGCGGTAAGTATAGAGGCAATATCCCTCTTTTACAGAAGAGGAAAACTAAGATATTGTTCTTCCTTCTGACTCTATAAGCTATCTCAGGTCCAGAGTCTTGCAGACTATTTCAGTTAGAAGAAGAAATTAATGGTCAAGTTGTGTCTTTGTGTTTTCCTTCCTCAAAGCGCCAAGTGTCTTCCAACCAGCCCCCCGGTGCAGAAGTTTCTCTCAGCTTCTCCTAAGGCTGAACCAATGCTGACTGACACCGTGTCACTTTTCCTCAGTCCCTTTCTGAGCTCAATCCCTGCATGCAGAGTACTCTTAAAACAGTACGCAGTGAAGCAGCTTTTCTGCATAGATGGTTCAGATTCCTGTGGAGCCTTGCATCTGCCTCTGTGTTGAGCAGAAACATGTTTGAATGTGTCTTTTGCAGCTATCTTAAGCCAAAGGGTGGTGAGCACTCTTAAAAGTTTTAATGTTTAACCCACCTTATAAGAGTATCCAAGTGAAGCGACTTGAATTTGAACAGAATGCTACTGATAGATCTGGGACTACAACTTGGAACTCGGCTAACTGTTAGCTTTTAAAATAAAAGGGTCAGGCTGATTTTGAGAACTAAGCACTCTTTCAAAACCTGTAATATTCTTATAGGCAAAATTCAAATTCAGAACATTGTATTAGACTTTAGTGATGCATCTCTCATGACGGTATGCCTACATGAAGGAATTAAACCGGTATACTTTTGAAATGTTTTTAACCTTTCCTAAGGAGCAAAAAATTTCAAGTAGGGAAGCACTTTGTGCTTCCTTTTCTATCACTGTGAGGAAATAGGCTGCTGCCTTTCCTTTCCTCGTCTCTTCCTGCCATTTAAATGGTTCATGAATTGGTTTTGTGTAAACCTGTTACTGCCAGTCCTCACTTATTTTTCATTACTCTGCCTGATCTCTTAATTCTTGAGAGTTTTCTGCTCTCACCGTTTTAAAAAGCAGAGAATTTGGATCATTAAGATACTGTACATTCAAGTATCCGTGGTACTGTGTGCTGTGGTAGGTGGCACTAAAAGATTCAGATGTGCTTCTGGGGCTGAAGGCTCTTATTCCTGCATGTTGGTAAGAAGAACAGCTATTCCAGAGGAGCCAAGAGGAGTATCTAGTAGAGCCGAGTGATACTGCAGAGAGTAGGAGGCAAGAAAATGGAACCACGGGTCTTGGAAAGTAGCAGGGGCATTCCCGAAACAGTTTTAAAGGAGCTTTATGGGCTCGTGGTCTGCCAGCCTTCATTGCTAGGGCTGTAGTAGAACTGTTGCTGCCCGAGTTTAATTATTAATATGTAATAGCATGCTTTTTTGTTACGCAGCAAAGGTTTTTATTGCCTGCTTTCTAAAACCCTGCAAGTGTCACTCCCCCAGAGTAAATTTTTCTCTTGGACAGTATTAAAACATTTGCGTCCCATGGCTTCTTTACATTTAATCGCCTGTGTTGGCAAAAGCACTGAAATGTAAATATTAAAGCAGAATATTGGGGCACGTTGGGTTTCTGAAAGGCTGTGGATTCCAGTGTCTATGTGGGAAACTTGCTTAGGGGTGATGTCAGCTTAAAAGCTGCTTGCGGGGATAATTGGTATAATTGACATTCATGTTGGCTGTCTTTTTCCATGAGACAGTGAATTGGGGGTAGTTAGTATTTCTGCTGTTTTTCTTTCTCGCTAGCTTTTCTGCAGGAGCTGGTAGAACGGGATAACTGCAAGTTTGAGGAGTGGTGTAACGAAATGGCAGAGATGCGAAAGCAGAGCGTGGCCAGAGGCAAAATCAAACATGAAGAGGTGAAGGAGCTCTACAAAAGGTTACCTGCTGAAGCTGGTCTGTAAGATATTCTGGTAGCATTTTGTAGTAGATGTGTTTAAGATTAGCAGTCTTTTGTAACTAAACCACTGCTTTAATACTTGTTCCCCTTTACATATAGCTGCATTCAGTAGTTGTCATAAATTTGATCCCTTTTTTTCCTCTTAACCTTTCATATTCTGGTATTTGTAATAGCAAAGTATCATGAAGAACTATAGATTTTGAAGGAAACAAGATGCGGATGGTCCATTTCGCAAGCATTTAAATTGTATTTGAGGTTTCCCCAAAAGTCCGTAAAGCTATCTTCTTTTTTTTTTTCTGGCTGGGCTGTAGAAACAAACAGCACTAGAACCATATTATGCATCGTAAGTTGTGGTCTCATGGTCTGAATGTTTCACTGCAAGCTGTTAGGTATAATTGCATGCCTCCTGATGAGGGAAGGGCACGTCATCTAAGAGGGCAGTGGAACATCTATGCTCAGTACTGCTTTTGCCCCATAATGTTTTCTTCATGGTGACTTTACATTTCCCAACCTCCTCTCTCTTTCTTTTTCCTGTTCTTCATTTTAATGGCCACTGCAGCTATTTTTCTCTTTACTGATATATTCTCCCCTCCCTTTCAGTGATGTCTGCTAGCCTCTTTCATATACTGTTTCCATTTTCTGTTGTCCTATCCACGACTTGATTCACTATTGATTAGCCACATTGAAACCAGAATAACTCAGCCAGTTGTGAGTCTCTACTTCTCTTCTCCGCGTCAGTGCTAAATGAACCTGCAAGGGCGCAGGTTCACTCAGCCTTCTGCCAGAAAGTCATTCGTGTCTGACAGGCACTTGGGAACGCCCGTGTAGGCGATCTTTTATCTGTAAGACTTCTGTTAGTCATTCCACTCATATAAGCCCTCTGTATCTCAGCTGTACTATCCTGTGAGCAAGTGCTCACTGGCTGCGTCTTAATCTTGTACCCATTTTTTTCACCCTACTTTTTTAACATAGTTAAGCACTAGGATTTTGAAGCATCATTTTCTTCCCTTGGTTGCCTTACGTGTAAGGGTACGGGTCTTGCTGTGGCTATTTTACATACAGAATATTTCTCCCATGTACATGCCACTTCTAAAAACAATTGGAAAAAATCACTTAAAGTTATAAATCTCTTAAGAAGCAAAAATAGGCTCTTGTGATAGTTCAGTTTAGTTTGCAATATACTTTGGCCAAACTCTTCAGATTTGAGCACCCAAGTCCAAGTAAAGTGTCTAGTAGAAAAGGCTGGACTTCTCGTCCAGAGGTGCTGAACACCTACTACTCCAGGTCGCTGGGAGCTCAGATTCTCTAAATAGCTGCCCATTTCCATTTGGACACTTAGTTGTAAGCTCTAGGATTTGGAAACTTTGGTATTTGTGCTTCAAACTAATGGAAAGATAGGCGTTTTATATTCCCTATGTTGATTATATTCTCCAGATGTATTGTTGAACAGTTGTAGTGAAATCTAGGTTGTCAACATGGACAGCAGTGTGCTGTGATTCAGCTTTGGGAAATGGGAACAAAAAGTGATGCTCTTTCACTTTTGTAAGCACAATAGGAATAATGTGCTTCTGACAATAATGACATGAATAAATCTCGTTATGGCAGGTTCTAAATTTTTTTTTTTAACCGTGTGATAATTCATTGTGAAAGGTTGGCAACAAGTTTGAATATAATTAAAACCTCCGGAGGCTATGGCCACATTCAATGTAAATGCAGTCAATGAAAAGCAAATCTTATAGCCTTGCACAGGGAAACAATTATGAGAATAATATCACTGCCTAATATGTAGAAGCTACTGACTGGGGGAAGAACAGACCCATTTAAGGCCTAAGCTTATGAAAAGCCAGTGCTGATTATAGTACAGATTTTTCTCAAGCTTTGCTGTTATCCCTCTGTATGAAACTTTATAGATTTTTTTTCTAATTTCATGAGTTGTATTGATCAGATTAATATCAGCAGCATCTTTTTCACCCAAATTTCAGAATTGTCCTTGACACATCAGCCCAGTGCATTTTAATTTCCTGGCCATCCTGTTAATTTTCCAGTGATCTTTTTATAAATACCAATCGTTATCTTTCCAGCAGGGGCTAGACTTGATGCACAGAAGGAAATTTGCTTTGTTCCCACAATCAGTTCATGTTCTTAGTTTGTAATTAAACCTACCTTGGAACCTGAAGATGATTACTGCTAATTGAAAAGGGAGAGAAACATCTGAGATCAGCTTGCTTCTCACAGCTGCATTTTATTACAGAAAAAGCCAATGGAAATATAAGATGCCTTATTTACAAACATGGCTGTGCTCTTTTGGGTTACACATTTGCATCAAGATATTTGTCTTAAATATTTATATAAAGCCATTCATTTCTTGTAAAGTGTAGCCGTTAATCCGTCTCAGACCTACCCACCAACCTTCAAAATCAAATCTCTGCATTTGGGGTTTAGCAAGCAAAACAAAACCATCTCATTACTGTGAGATTTTTAAGTCAGTGGCATTTCCCAGCATACATTTTTGATACAGAGCCTGTGTCTTGGTTGTTTGTGAGTAGCTTGTGAGTTAAACTCAGTTTTTTTGAGCTGAGAGCAGGAGACTATTGTTATGTTCTAAAATAAAATAAGCTACTGTATCCAAAAGGTTTTGCTGCTTGAAAACACATTCTGCCTTTATTGGACAAGTTACCTATTTAAAAAATAAGTTGACCTGTAGTTAATTAATTTTTTCCCCTTATCTCATTTCACATACCTGCTATTTAGAGCGAGTGATATAAATCTGCCAGAACTGAACACAAACTAATTAGACATTTGCAAAATTTTCATAGTTCGAACCTAGTCAAGTAACTGGTGGGGGAGTCCTCTGTTTATAACAATTTAATTTTTTAAGATAAAAACACTTTTTAAAAAACAGTTTATTAGAAAGCATGTGCAGTATCATGGGTTTGTTTCTGTTCACTTTTTTCCAGGATCCCCATATGAGTTTATCTCTCTTGATTGGCTACAGAAATGGCTGGATGAATCTACCCCTCCCAAACCCATAGATAACGCTGCATGCCTATGTTCACATGGAAAACTGCACCCAGATAAAATATCCATTATGAAGAGAATATCTGAGTATGTTGCTGACTTCTTCTACAGGAGATATGGAGGGGGCCCCAGGCTGACTGGTAAGCTGAGACCATGGTCTCTAAAGAGAGGATGCTTTGAGGTCACCTTTTTTTTTTTCCTTTTTCTTTTTCATTTACATTTTATTATGTTATAATAAACATATAGCTTAACTCTGGGCCATCCTTTGTCATTAAAATGAAGCTTTCTCTCTCATCATAATAGATGTGCTGCCTGTGTATTTCTGGAGAATTGTTTTTGAGGTCACTACTTAATTACATTAACATTCAAACAAATATATTTAGTCTGATTGGAGAACGTTTAATGGCAGATCTGTTTCAAACCTAGATTTTGCTCTGTGCCTTGAAGCAGTTTTATGCCGAGTAGCTTTAAACAGGACGGTGGGATCGGAAAGAGTTCAAGCTATTTTTTTTTCTCTTAATGAAACATCCTTTTCTAAAATAGGAAAAAATGTCAGTGTCTTATGTAGAGAGAGAGAGAGATTGTGTGGCTGTCATGGATGTAGAGTTTTACTCGAGCCCTCAGGCTTTATGCAGTCTCCCTGAATATCCCAGGCATAACTTCCTTGTAAGGGAAGTCCCATGGCTGCTTCAGCTTCCAGACTAGGCCTTCAGGTTACGCCACCACAGTTTTTCTTCATAGCCCGTGCAGCCAGCACAAATTAACTCAACTTCTGTATGGGACTTGCCCTTATAGGGCAGTAAGCAACCTGCAGAAACTGCAGCCACACCAGCAGCCTTTCTAAAATAATCCATTGTCTTAATCAGTTGGAATATAGCAGGCAGAGTCTTTTAGCCTGGAATGGGTAAGATAAGCTTGAGACAGAGTTAATATTATCTGCAAGAATAACCAGTCCAACGTACCATATGCTCTTGGTTATCCATCTTATCTCTCTCTTCCTCTGTCTGCTGGGTGTAGGAAACTCCGTCTCTTCGTACCGTTGTTCCAAGCTTGTTGCTTCCTGGCAGTTAGAAGTTAATATTCAATCCCTGGGGCTTCCATTTATATCAAAAAGACATTGAACAACAGATAACACCTTCCTAGTCACTTTACACTTGGCCACATGCCACTTCCACAGCCCAGAGTGGAAACCACGCTCGGCACCCCTGGGTCACAGTACACAGAAGGGTAGGGAAACAGGCATGCAGAATGCCAATAAAATTTCCACCTTCTCCACCCTGTGGCAGGTGTGTTCTTGTGAATGGTGCAGCTGCGCTCGTATGTCTGAACTGCTCCATCTTTTAAACCCTGTTTCTGCATGTACTGGTGTTTTTCAGACCTGTTACTCTACTTGTGAGCTGCTATTCTTGCAGATCATGAGGAAATGCAGACTTGTGAAACCGAAGTGATGGGATGTTTTGTTGCTACGTGAACGAATCCTGCCTCCATGTTGAGCCTCCTACAATTATTTATTGGGGTCTAAATTTGGCCTAGTTCAGCTGTTGCCATGGATCTTATTTCTGTCTAAAATCATAGGTATTGGAAAATGTCACTTGGATGCTATGTGGATGTCCCTTGATGGACAGAACGTTTCAAATAATGATGTCTGGACTATTGGCTTTGTTTCGAAATGAGCGGTAGCAATGCTCGTAACACAAAGTGTTCTTTGTTTCTCCAGTGAAAGCCCTGTGCAAGGACTGTGTGGTTGAGAGATGTCGAATACTGCGACTGAAAAATCAGTTAAATGAAGACTACAAAACTGTTACAAATTTGCTGAAAATTACAGTAAAGGGGTATGTGAGGTCTGGGGCCTTCAGCCATCATCAAGGCCAATCATTTTAAATAGGATTTTAATAATTCTCATTTTGATCCCGATACAATGAAAATAATTCATGGTTTGTATTGTGAATGCTTCTTATTTCTGTGCAGCAATGATGGATTTTGGGTGGGAAAGGCATCCTTGCGCAGCTGGCGTCAGTTGGCTTTGGAACAGCTGAATGAGCAAGATGATGATACAGAACACAGTAATGGCAAAATGAATGGAGACACCCAAAACAAAGGTAATTTTAACATTGTAAAATCCAAGCAAAATAGCCAGTAGTGAAATTATAGTTGAGAGTTTTCAAAAACATTAGGTAAGTTTCGATATCTAAAGAGGAGCAGTAACCAAAAGCGTTCCTACAAAACAATAAAAAATTATAGACGTCTGGGCAGAGTTTCCAACCTTTATCCTAACAAATAACAAAAAAAAAAAAAGTTTGCTACAAAAAATTACGATGGGTAAGAAGTGAAATTTGTTTTGCAAGGCTCCAGTAAAGAACTGAGCGTTTCCTGTGAAAAGCAGAAGAGTATTGCTAAAACCGGGTGCCCAAAAAACATGACGTCAGCCTGCCCTTCAAAAAATAAAAACTTGGGGTTCTCAAATTATTTATTTGTCTTCTGGGTTTTAGCCTACGAGGGAGGAGAACAGAAGAACTTGTTAAAAATGAAAGCTGAGATTTCTCAACCTAATCGGATGGTTTCAGGACCTGAGGTCTTAGGATCAGCATCAAATTATCACATGACAAATTTCAAAAGCAGGCAACACTAATAGAATTTGGTTGATCGTGTGTTTATTTTGGTGATAAATTTTAAAGGATATTTTTCTGCGTTGATTGGGTCCCAATTTAAATATCCCTCGGGAAATCGTTTTGTTATTTTCTGGTCTTAAATTGAAGTTGTTTTCACAGCAGCATAAAATAATGCTCAAGGGGTTAAAGGTTGAATTATTTACTAGGACATGTGCTCATTATTTAGGTTTTTACAGTTCGTTGCTCAGTATACTGCTGTATTTGCAACACTGCAGTGAAAGACGTCAGCTCTTCATTTTATAAACCGAAGGCTCATAACTAGCCTCTATAAATGTATGTGGGCCCTTGTCTGGGTATCCAGGCCCTTGGGAAATTCAGCTAGCATCATGTTCCAGTGACTCAGTTCATCCTGGTCCTTAGAAGGCTTTTAAGGCATAAAATGATCCCTGAGGAACTGCTCAAGGATGAATAGCAGGAGCCAACCTTTCCTGCCTACACATTGACACTGATGGTAAACATTCATCAGCCCAAACTCCTTTTTTCATTTACACCTGTGTAAATCCACTTGAAACATAAGATAAAAATTAGCCCTGCAATTTATAACTTAATTAATAATGGTGGATACATCCAATCCACCTTATTCTCTTCTGCTGACATCGTGAAAATAAATAGTAACCACTCTACCTTTCTCTCAGTAAAAACATGTTTTTACTTATTTCTGGCATCAATCTTAAGGTTACAAGTATTTTCCAAACAAAAAAAACATATTTCTATCCCTTGCTCACAACAGCTCTTCCAGTCCGAGTAGGTTTTGGCCTCATTCACATGAAGCTGCCTTAGTGGTGCAAGAGGACTGGTTTAGATCATACTTCTCAAGGTAGAGAGCCCACTAACATTTTGTCCACAAGGCTTTATTTCCTCAGCTGTTACCACTGGTGATTGTTTTTTTCCGTTCACACTCATCTGAGAGAGATGAGCAGCAAAAAATGCATTCTGTATTTGGGGTCTTGTAAAGGTGATCTAGTACTCCGTGATCTTCAAAGCATTTGAATGTATAATATATTGTAGGACACAGTCCTGTGCTGCCCCTTGAGAACTGGCCTAATAAATGTAATAGCATAGTGCTTTTGAAGTTTCCTTTCATGTTAGAATTTTGCAGCAATTTGCAGATGGGAGAATAATAGCACAGTTTTGTAAGAACCATACTCTTCTACAGAGAACTTCTGTGCAGTGTACTTTTTTCTTTTGGTCAGATGAATCCAATGAAGACAAAAGAGAGGAGGAAGAGGAGTTAAATTTTAATGAAGACATTGTTTGTCCGCATGGTAAGTGCATCTGTGGGAGGTAGGAGTAATTATATGCAAAGTATTCTAATTGGTCTCTAAATAGTAGGTAATTTTCTGTGTTTCTTCAGTCAAGCTCAAGACCAGCTGGATTAATTGTGGATGAATTCTACTTAAATCTGTTTTACCTTGCCTTTTTCCTTAAGGAGATAATACCATTTGAACTTTTTTTCTAAGAATGCCATGAGTTTGACTCAGATCACACAAGTTTGGGAAACAAAGATATATTTGGATGGAAACCTCCAGAGAAAACGTAGGTACTACAGAGAATTGTCACCAGTTAAGTTGGTGTTACTCTTCCTTCTGAATTTGCTACTGAACTGATAGTTCTGTATAATGTGAAGAGAGTCTCTTCTGCAGCACATGCTGTCTTTTGAGTGGAAGAAAAGCCCAAAGGCATTCCTAACGATTGTGACCTATTAAAACAAAAAACCCTGAAATCTGTGAAACTGCTTTCATATTTTTGGAAAAAAAGTAACTGTAGTTATCAGTGATAATATCCATTCCTTTTCCCTCTTGTAAATAAAATAGCAGCCCTCTCAACTGAGACTCTACATGGGTACAGACGATTGCAAAAACACATAAGAAGCATTTTCCTATCCAATAAGTATTTAGGCCTCCTCAGTATATAGGTTGTTACCAAACTACAGGGTGTTTGGCATCCCTTTCATCATGCTGGTGACATAGTATTGGTCGTTTTGTTGCATTAAGTGATGGTTAGCTGGCTGCAGCTTATGCTGAAATTTCTCGTCTTATTTTCAGTACGTAGATTATTGGCAATATTGTGATAGATTGTAACTGCTGCTTTATTGGAGGCATGATCTGTCAGTTTGGGACACTGCAATGCATGTCATCTAGGGCTACGTTATTTTCAGTTAATAACAAACTGAATGTGGATTAACAATGCACTCTTCACCATTAAAGCTAATAAAAGATGTATGCCTTGAATAGCTAGAGCCACGTCCTCAAGTAGAATGTTTAAAACCTTTCGTCATTATTACATATTTTTTCCCGTGGGATTTTTGTATGGCAGCTGGCAATGCCATAAGACTGGTATCACTAAATGAATCTTTCTGTTGTACTTGGCAGTTTTATATTTCTGATGTAGGCAGACAAAAACACCATGAAAATGAGCATTTGAAAATACTATCCCAGGAAATTACTAATTTCTATATAAATTGATCTTTGACTTGGTCATACAAAGGTAATTGACGTTAAAAATCCGGGCCCTCAAATTCAGATTTCTTCATTCTGAGTTAACCTGAAATTACTTTTATAAAATACCATCTTCCTCTTATGCATTGAAAATATTCACCTGAAGTGTATCAGCAAATCTACATTCCCTGTAATAGAGCCTTGATTTTGCAGTAAAGCAAACTACAGCCTTAATGGTGCTATCTGCAAGGACCAGTGCTTGATGTGTGAGGTCTGGCTTGCATCCAAAAAATATGCTGGCTTTCCCTTATGAAGTTGCCTTTCCCATCTTCTTACATGCATATGTTAAAAACCTTTTTCATCTTCCATTTGGAGAATTGCTGTAAGTGCTCCCTCTCCAGTAGTTTCCTGACCCCATTGGATAATTTTCTCTGATTACCAAGTTAGGACACCTTTGATGTTCGTGCCCAGAATCCATCTCTTCCCAGAGATGATGGGAGGGGAAACAGTGGTTAGAGCTTTCACCTTCCAGATGGTAGAGTATTTGTACTCTGCACATCTGATCTGATTTTCCACCTCACTCCCTCTATAGCTTTATTATAGGCTATCGTCTCTTTTCATTAATCAAACCTCGTCAGCATACTTTATTTGTATGATCTTATTTTCATGTCCCTCTTGGTTTCTGGAAAGCCTCCCAGTCCTGCCTTCCCCCATATGGTGAACCTAGGCCAGTCATTGGTCAAATTCAGCAAGTTTTTCATTAAATGCTATTTCAAAATAATCCAATCTGATCTTCATTTATTTGCAACAAAGCCAGGAACAGTGTGTTGCTATTTTTGGTTTGGGGAATTGGCAGAAGTTCAAGATTTGCCAGAATGAGAGATGACAGGTCAGTGGAATTGCAGACTTCTCCTAATACTGAAGACATCCAAGCAGGAAGTTTTCCTTCTGAGTTGTTTCTGTATCCAGTGGCTAATCTGAGCCCCCTTCAGGTTATAGAAATGGAGAGAATTAAATTCAAAGTGCCTAGTCCTCTGATAAACCCTGGTCCACGTTTTGTAAGTTTTCAGTACCCTGTTTCCTTGTCATCGTTGGTAACATACACTTTGATATATTTTGAGCATCGCTTTTTTTCCTCCCATGTAGCTCCTTGGGCCTTCCAGCTTGACAGCACTGAGTTGTTTTCTGTTTTCAGATTACCATTGTTCTCATTGTGTTTGTGCAGCACCATTTTCACCTTTCCCCTTCTACTTGCATGGATGGCTTTTGGCTTCAGAGCAGCAGTTACACAGGTGGAACTCAGTGCTGGGTGTAGCGCACAGCAAGAAACCATGCACAACTTAATGGCTCATTCAGTCTCTCAGCAGTGCAGTCACTTTTCATCCATGAAATATTTTCCTGCCATACAGTGAATCTTAGGATACATACATCCAGGGCCTGTGCCACATGAGTGACCTTTTTGACATTGCTGCTATCAAAATAAACTTTCATAAATACTTTCTGTTAAGCCATTATTTTCCTGTTTCTCAGATTTCAGTTGTCAGCTTCCGGAACATTGCTTGCATGTATAAATGATACTGTGTGAGTAATTGGAGTTGTCTGAGCAGTATTTGGTACGTCTCTCATGGTTTTGGCCCACTAAATGAATTCCACTTAGCTGTATACAATTATACTGTCTCCCATAAAGGGGATGAACTACAAATGGCATTCAGTGTGCTGTGCACAGTTTGTATACTGCACTTTTTCAAGACGGGCATTGTTAACAAAGGAATTTTCTCTGGATCCTGCCCACTTGAATATCCTGAAGAACTTCTTATACACTAAACAGTTCCTATACCCATGTGGTGTTTAAATGCAGTGATGCTATCAGAAAAGCAGTATAGAGGATGAGTGGGGAGAACATCTTGGCCAGAACATTGGATTTTGGATGCCTGAGATATGTAAATAAATCATGGTGACTTTTATTTTTCAGGTGTTTCTGTTGGGAATAAACAAAGATTTGGGTGATCTGTGCCTTTGACGATCCACTTCTTTAATGTGCAATATTAGCCTTTGTGTATATGTATTGCATGCTCTCTCTTAGTGTTCTTGCCCTTCACAGCCTTCCCTGCTCATCTGTGCGTTTCTGCTGCTCCTCCTCTTGTGGTATTTGTATCTGCAATTTAAGTGCATGATCTTATAAAGATCAAGATCATTTGACCTTTTAAAATATAAACAGGAAATTTAAGAATGCCTTCGTCTAGCTGTTAAAATAGCTGGTTGTAATTGTTAAGATGTGCTATGGCTGTAAGCAGGCACTAAAACCCTACGCTTCAGAAGGAGACTTATTCGTTGGGGGGGGGGGGGGGAAAAAGGGGG